AGGCTGGAAGTCTCAGGACAGACAAAAGAAAGTACAGTACTTATTCACAAAGCACATAGTTAAAACTATGGAATTAACTCGCAAGTGGTAGTGATGGCCACGGACTTGGATAACTTTTTTTAAAAATTAGGTAACTTAATGGAAGATAAGGCTATCGATGACTACTAGCTATGTTGGCTATATTTTCTACCTTCTACCTCCATGTCTTCTACCTTTCTCCCTATATTTTCTATGGTTGGAGACAGTATGCCACTGAATACTAATTGATGAGAATCACGGGGGGGGGGGGCTGTTGTGCTCAGGTTTTGCTTGCAGACTTCCTGTGGGCATCTGGTTGTCCACTGTGAAGACATGGAGTGCTGTACTACATAGGCCTTTAGCTTGATCTTTTGGTCTCCTCTTAAGCATTTATGCACTAAGGAAGCAAGCATTATGCTTGTGTAGTCCTCTCTCCACTGTGCTCTGCTTAATGAATTATGTCTTCGTTTACAGCAAACCAATTTAACATTATATCTGAACTGGGAAACTATGGTTTGCACTTGCCCTGAAAACCATGATTGTAAACTAGGGACATTTCTGATTCTCATCAAGACCCTCCAGAAGTCAAAAGTATGTCAGAAAGAGCAAAAAAGAAACATGTGGGCTGTAATATGAGAATGTAAAAAAAAATACTTCCTATTTTCTGCTAGGACTAGCATCTGACAAGCAAATGTTTGATGGAAACCAGATGTGTCTCAGTGGTAAAATAGAAATATGTCTAGCTAATCTCAAGATAAAGCAGGCACGCATTTTCTGCACTTTCCACACCAACAGGTCCAGTTCTTCTGTAGGAAAAAGTAATGTGAGAAGTGGCCCCTTGACTCATTGGTAAGCCCTCTCTTGTATTTCAGTGATTTAGCTAGTCTGGAATGCAGAAGAATTTACCTGCTTTGTTTAAGAAAGAGTTCAGCTACTCCTATTACCTTGTGAACATTTTCCTTCCAATGAAATGCCCAGCCCCATACACCATCACAAACCAGTCACCTCTAAATCAAAGAGACTGTATTATTTTTGAATCCACAATATTGATTTGTTAAGAGTTTTAAGTCTTACAGACTTTTTGGTGTACTACCCTTTACGGTCTTCACCTCATTTATACCCCGATCATATTTACAAAGGAAGATGCTGTTGTTGAAGGCTACCCAGCAAGCTTGACAGATGCGCAGAGATTTGGTGTCCATACTCAATTCTCAACACTCTTACACATATTTCAGCACTTGTTTTTTGCTCCCAAAACTGCAAGTTATGCTACTGTTCTGAAGACCAACATTAGTCTCTAACTTTATTTGTTTTGGTATTACAATCCTTACCTGATAAGTTCCTGGTACCAAACATTCCTTCTGGTCTACGGTACTCTAAATTCCTAAGCTTAAAAGGTCTAGGATGCCTATTGGGCCAGGTTGGTGTTTACTATTGCTATATAAAACCCTTAACTCAGGATCAGTTTACCTGTGAGATCACTTCATCCCATATATGCCCACTCAATTGCTTTGATCTGCGGAACTGCCACTTTTACAGGTGGCACATAATATCTGTTCCACATTTGTAAAAAATTAATTTTTTAATGTGGCAGTGCATATACTTTGGAATTCCCTGCCAATTGATATAGCTGGACAGTCATACCTTGGTTTTGGAACAGACTAGTTCTCGAAGGGTTTGGCTTCCAAACAATCAAAACCCGGAAGTGACTGTTCCGGTTTTCGAGTGTTCTTTTGGAAGCCAAACGTCCGACGGGGCTTCTGATTGGCTGCAGGAGCTTCCTGTAGCCAATCAGAAGTCGTGCTTTGGTTTTTGAACGCTTTGGAAGTTGAACGGACTTCCGGAACGGATTCTGTTCAACTTCCAAGGTATGACTGTACTCTTCTTGCTGCCTGCTAAAATCAATTGTGTTTAGACAAATGTATTTAGGTATCTAGAACACTGATGTGTTTTAATCTGTTTAAGTTTTAGGTTTTTAATGTTTTAAATATCAAAAGGTATATAATTTGCATGAAATAAAAAAAAATCCTAATTGCCACCATTATCCCTCTCTCTCTCTCAAATAGGCCATGAAACAGACTATAACAGACTTCTACTATAAACACTGCGTCATCCCTGACATTCTCCAATCAAACTGTTTAAAAAGCTGTCTTAATCAGTAGGACAAAGCTGGTTTTAAGAACATCAGCTTAATTGGACTGTGGATAAGGCTACCCAGTACATTTCCCCTTCCTGACTCACACTTGGAATTAAGAGAACTTTGCCTACACAAAATCATTATCAAACATGTAAAAAGTGAATACGTTGTCTTAACAGCAGCTTTTGTATATAGAAAGAAGGAAGTAACAGAGCATTTCCTATGAGCCCAAAACTGAATAAGCTTTAACTGCAGGGAATGTGCATATGAAAGTTTTTGAAGTTATGCCTCTATATCAAAGGGTTTCTGAAAAAACAAATACAATCTTAACAATGGAGAAGATGAAAAGCTCTTTATAACATCAACAGTAACCATATATACTGTTCCCTTTATAGCACACAGATAAATTAAAACAAAAGCTACTGTTAGTACTACTTATTTAAATCCTCATGTGACTTTTTGAAAAAGACTTTTTGACTTTTTGAAAACTTGTATCAGTACTAGTATCAGTCAAATACACTAGAACAACTAAAAATCTGCACTGGTCAGTCAAAATCAGTATGTCACGTTTCACCCTGAAGATTGTCAGGTTATGGCACTGTACTGATGGGAAAAACTATAAATAATATGGGTTGCAAACATGGTTGGCATAAAGAACAGAGGCTGAAACAAATTTGGTGAGATTTTGTACTACCATCTATAATGAAAATAAATAAAACTTCATTTCTGAGCTATGAGGACTGCAGACATATGCCTTTTAAAAGTGTGATTCTATTAATGGACAAGATAAGAAATAGGCATATAAGAGGCTGTGGCTCAGCAGCAGGAGCAGGTGTGCTCAAGCAGAAAAAGTTTCTAACATTCAGAGGTATCTCCAAATTCAGCAAGCAATTTGGGTATATTAAACCAACATAAAAACACCGAAACATTTACACAATGATTGAGAAACTTAAGTTATTTGGACTTTCTAACAAGAGGATGAACTTGCTGCATGTTTTCTTTGCAACACAAACAGTTTGTTCGGGGCCTCTCTAGAGATATCAACTATTAGTAAGGGAGTGAAGAATGAAAACACAGACTATTTCAAAAACACTCGGCCTAACCCAGTTCACCTAGGATACAACACCACACACAAGATTCCCACTGGGTTCAGAAAGCCCCATTTCTTCTAAGGGTTTGCACACAGGGGCTGTTGCAAGAAATGAAAGGTCCATGCATGGATATTGTGCCCCCAACTTGACTTCTGCACATGTGCTCTACTACTTGTATATGCTCCAAAACACAAGTACCGTATTTTTCGCCCTATAGGACGCACCGGCCCATAGGACGCACCTAGTTTTCAGGGGGGGAAATCAAGGAAAAAAATATGATCCCCCCCCCCGCAGCTCTGGGAGCAGTGGACAGGCTGCACGCAGCCTGTGCGCTACTCCAAGACCTTCTCCCTGCTTTTGCGGGAGGTGGCAGAATTCCCCCACCTCCCGCAAAAGCCCACAGGAGCCCCGCGTGACTCCTGCGGGCTTTTCGACCAGGAGGGAGAAGGGACTGAAACGGCCAGTCAGTCCCTTCTCCCTCCTTGGGGAAAAGTCCCCAAGAGCCGCTCGCTCTTTAAAGGGTGCGCAGTTCCTGCAGGCTTTTCTAGGAGATGGGGGAATTCCCCCCCCCCGTAGAAAAGCCAGCAGAAGCCGTGGAGCCCCTTTAAAGAGCGCGCAGCTTTTGCGGGAGGTGGGGGAATTCCCCCATCTCCCGCAAAAGCCCAAAGGAGGGTTGGAGAGTAGCTGGAAGGCGTCGCGCGCCTTCCTGCTGCCCCCCATCCTCTGGGGCTGGCGATGGGGGAAACACTGCTTTCCCCACCACCAGCCTTGAAGCAGGGTTGGAGAGTAGCAGCAAGGCGTCGTGCGCCTTCCTGCTGCCCCCCATCCTCTGGGGCTGGCGATGGGGGAAGCGCTGCTTACCCCACCGCCAGCCTCGAAGCCGGGTTGGGGAGTAGCGGCAAGGTGTTGCGCGCCTTCCTGCTGCCCCCCATCCTCTGGGGCTGGCGATGGGGGAAGCGCTGCTTTCCCCACCGCCAGCCTCGAAGCCGGGTTGGAGAGTAGCGGCAAGGCGTCGCGCGCCTTCCTGCTGCCCCCCATCCTCTGGGGCTGGCGATGGGGGAAGCTCTGCTTTCCCCACCACCAGCCTCAAAGAGCAGACTCTCCTGGCTTCAGCGGAAGCAACGCGAAGCCTCCGGAGTGCAGGCTTCGGAGGCTTCGCATTGCTATCGCTGAAGCCAAGGAGTCTGCATTCGCCCCATAAGACGCACACACATTTCCCCTTCATTTTTGGAGGGGAAAAAGTGCGTCTTATAGGGCGAAAAATACGGTAACTAACAAGGTACAGAGAAATAAGGTTGGATGAGGATATGGGAGGAGCACATGTGCTTCCCTTTCCCTGCAAGGGCTCCTTATATAGCCTACATATGTAAGCACTTAGGTGAAGGCAGGAAAAACAGAGTCATATTGGACAATACAGGCAACCTATGCATGTTGGTACAGTACCTGCAGTGGAGCTAGATTGAACCTTTACTATTACACTAATCTGTAACATTGCCGATTATGATTGGACCAGGCGGTGAGGGCCGCTCTATCCAGGCACCTGCTCTTCTCCAACAGGTGGTCATTACTATCAAAGCTGGCAATGCCAATCATTTGTTTGGGGGAGGGCATCCCCAATTAAGGAACCTGGGATCAAAGTGTTAAATTAATAAAGTGATGTTTTGTACTATAGTAAAGGGCTCAAGGTACCAATTTCCTTTTGTGTGTCCCACAGTCCTGGGTAATATTCCATGTCATTATAGGCATCTACTTACCATCTGTTATGACTGCTTCTCCCTGCTCCTTTTTCAGCTCTTCTGGCTTAAGGCTGAGCTCCACTTGTTCTTCTGTAATTCCATTAATAATGGATATCTGTCCATTCTTCTGTAAAAGCTGCACGGGCCAAGGGAGAGATTGGAGGAAGAAAGAGAGCAACAACTTTTGTAAGTCAAGACTTGTGCTGGGGGGGGGGGATCACATTTACTTTTTTTCTTCAGAGATGAACGTGCTTTATCATTTATAAAATACATTATGAGCTACAGGCTGTATTAAAATATTGTCAACCCACATTTCAGCATAAACTGCTTTTTTTAACAATAGTGTAACGCTAGACATCTCTAAAATCTTTAAAAAGTATGAAATACAGGATAGCAGAATCAAGCACAGATCAACTTGCTCAACATAAAACATCAGGGGTCAACTCTCAGGATGAAATTTGTGGGAAGTACTCTTTACCTTATTGGTATTCAGGCCAAATATGGGCCTTGATAGCTTTAGATAATGGTGGGATGGATGTCATAAACATTCCTTGTGTCTCTCTGACTTCTATACTGCCATACGAAGAATTACATGATACAAGTAAAAAGACAGATCCTTGATCTACAAATCAAGAATTTATTTAAAAGTTTAGGCTATTCCTCAAAGAAAGCACCAGGTAAAATAAACAAGAGTACACAATAAGTCATTATCTATGACGCTTCTACAATGATACAACTGTAACCACAGGCAAGCCAGCTATATGCAAAAATTTAAAAACTGTCAGAATATATTGTTTATCTTCTTACTGTGGAAAAAAAATCACAAAGTAAAAGTTATGACAGCATATTTACTTCTCAAAATATTTTTGCATTAATGATGCACAGGCTCTTTTGGAAAGGTACATTCTCCCACAGCACTAACTTTGTGGGTCAATTCAATCTGTCCCACTGCATTAGCACCTCAGAACTACTTATTTTACTTTGCACTCACATTAACTGCCTCATTTCTCAGAAAGATCTGTTCTGCAATTTAATCCAATTATGTCAACTATATTAAAGCAGTGTTCTCAATTCCATTTGGAATGACTCAACTCAGTCAGATTCAAAGCAATTGTTTTGGAACATGGCTGAGAAGCACAAAAACTTAGCTAAGAACACGCAAATGAGGAATACAAGAAATAGCACTATGACAGTTTGATATTATTTATTCATTTATTGACATTTTCTGCTACCTTTGTTAAGGAGAGGTCATACTATATTTAATCCTCACAAAACCAAAGGCTTATCCAAAGTCGCTCACAGCTTCATGGGGGAAACACGGATTTGCATAACATCATTAAAAATGCATGCTGCATGAGCCAGCAATTCATTTACTGCTCACTTGACCTCTATGTACTCTTTAACATTTGTGTACTTGGGTAACTTATTTTCACTTCAAGGATCACTGTCTGAAATTTTCATCCTCCCAATGCAAAGAACACATTGCTTAAGGTTCTTTGCTTGATGTTTGTTTACACTGCAATAGTCTGTTCAACACTGGTTTTTTGCAGCTATCTAGACAGGCAGTTATGGGAAGCAGTGCACTGGCATTTAGATGCATGTGCACTAGAGTCAAAATGCAACTTCTAGAAACTTGACCAAGGACTGGAATGAGAAGAATTCTAGTACATGTGCACACACTAATGAGATATATCCCCCAAAGGCAAAATAGGGATACTTGTTTTAACAAGAAAATAAAGTAAAAACAGGGACCGACTTTGGTGAGGATGGCTGAAAGCTTTGAGGTTGCTATCAGATGACGTGTTTCTTGAAAATTCATCCCAGGTTACATGATGGGGGGGGTGTGTTACATGATGTCAGCTGTTTACTAGGCACCGGTTCTTATTTGTTTGCAGGGAGGGTATACAAGGCTGCATCATGCAAGTACTTATCCCACATTCTCCAAAATGTTTTCCTGTCACTTTCTTTACTGGAAAAAGTCTGATTCTTTTTTTTCTCTTTTTGCCAAATACACTTTAATTGTACAACCTGAGTTTGCCAGTATGCAACTGAATCTAATCCACAAAAGAACAACAGTTTGGAAATGCCCAGAGGTCCAGGGTTATTCCTTCCATATTCATACAATACATAAAAACTATGGGTGGAACCCAGCTGATGCTCTTGGGCTCACAGAAGAGCTTTCAATGAGGTGAAGGCATCTGTTAACAGAAGATGAGAGGATTTTTGCCTATTCTGCCTGCAGGCCCTAAAGCCATCTTCCACCTTGCACCAAGCGGATTCCACCCTATTATTTTCTAAAGGGAAAACTGATGAAACAATTGGCTTTAAAACACACAAACAATGAATTGTATTCAAATGGGTTGCATCCTTCTAAAAATGGAAGGGAAACTAATGTCTGCTGACTTTCCATTCCGCCTTTGTTCCCCTCAACTTACTATCTCCTCAAATATAGCATTCAGAAACTCAGTATTAGCATGCTGATGAATGTAGCAAGCTTTGCCCATTATTCTCAGAGAATCCGGCAGATATAGCTATGTCTTCCTCCACTTCTAATGACCATCATTCCCAACATTCCTCATGCCAGACCCAGGATCATTCCAAGGATTCCACATACCAGGCCCAAATGCATTAGTGCTAATTTTGCCTCCTTGTCTTAATCCTTCTACATCAGTTCTTCTACAGATTCCTAAAATAAGCCAGATCCAGCTGTCTGAACAACTGATTAAACTAAATGGCATACTGAAATATTTTTCCACACTGTTAAAACGTCTGTGTTGATAGATTACTCAGCTGCACCATACCCTGTAAGATCTGAAAATCCTTAAGTGACACTGTAGTAACCATTTCAGTATTGATTATATCACCCTAGGTTATAGACTGAAAGCAGTTCACCAGCAATGGAAAGAGCAAAATAACGGCGAGAGTCTTCAAACTCACACATTATTTTTAAAAGCAACAAAAAACTAACAGGAGAGAGAGCCTTTCCTCATGAGCCAAAAAAACTAACACTAATCAAATCCAACCATTTCCCATAAAAATCAATCCATTGCAAGCAAGTAGTTAGCCTCCATACGGTCACTATAAAGATTTTACTGGTTAGAAAAAAAACAGAACTGCTTCAAGATCAAATGAGCCCAATCTAAACAAAATCACACATTTCCTCACATTCTTGCCAGTTTTGCTTGCTGCAGCAGGCATAAGATAGGGAAGAGGAAGAAGAAGAGGGGAGCAAGAGGGGAAAGGGTTGAATACCCCCTGCTCTCTCAAAGCTCTGGCAGTGGCGGCTGGGCAGTCCCAATTCTAAATCCACACCAAATAACTGTCCTAGTTTAATAGTGAACTAAAAGAGCAACCTGAATAATATATCTGCTTATTAGCTACCCAGGCGCAAGTGCATAGTTCAAGTGAGAAAAAGGGCAAACACACCAATCCACTGTTTTGGGGTATTATTTACTGGGTTTTATATATTGTTCAAATTTTATTACAGTTTAATCAATGATTATCTTTCATATATTTTTGGCTTTTTGAACTTTGTATTGTTTTTATTTGTGTAAGCCACCTTGAATCCCAGTCCAGGAAAAAGGTGGGATATAAATAAATATAACAATAATAATAATAATAATAATAATAATAATAATAATAATAATAATAATATGACAGACACAATCCAGCTTTCTTAAGAGCAACAGCATCAGTAAAATATTCAGGAGTCATGTGGATGATTGGTCTCTATTCAGATTCCTATTGTGAGTCACTTTGATTTATTTTGCTTAAAAAGTGGTTAGTAAATTTGATAAATAATAACAAGGTAATTGTAGTTCTATATGGACAAACCTTCAATGTTAATGAAAACAGTAATAGTTATTGATTTTCTTTCTTTTTTAACAAGCATTTCAAATAGTTCTAAATCCCTTAGCTCAGAAGTGGATACAGTATATAATTACTGTAGGGTTATCAAGCGTATTGATAGTTATTCCGGTGGAGATTACAAAGATTTCACGGAGCTAAGTACAGCCAACAGATATACACATCAGCAGGCCCAAAAACCAGTTAGAGAGCATCCTCTACCTTTTGTGAGTGCTCAGTCACTGAACCACCCTGGTGAGATCACCCAGGCAACTGTTTTCAATACAGAGGGGATAATTGTTTTCAAGCACTCAAATTGTTGGCCCATGTTCCTGGTAATCTGCAAAAATCTGCCTATTGGATGGTGTTTTTAGTCTGACATATCTCAGAAGGTTCCTTACCCATGCTTTTGTGAATGCCCTGCAAATATAAAATCATCACACTCACCACAGAAGGCTGTTGATGTTAGATGTTATATGCTCAATTTTTTTAGGATTCAGCCACAAAACTTGCACAATTAAACAATGGGAAGGTAACATTTAATATGCCTAGCACTAATAAAGCACACGAGGAAGAGTTTTAACCCCATGGGGAAAGACCCATGCTTTCTCTTAATTTTTCTTTGGCAGCTTCAGTCGTCACAAAATAAAAAAAATCTAGTACCCATACAATAAAAAATAATTTGGCATATATCAGAGCATATTTTTAAAGAGCACAGGATGCTCACAGTCCAGAACAGCCAACCCTTTTGCTTGTAAACTGATTTGAAGTATCAGCTCTGCCTAGAAGTCTCCATTTTTCTGTAGGATATAAAGCAATAGAATTGATGCCCCCAAGACTGGTGAAACAACATTTTGCCATAAAATAAAAGCAATGAAATTAAGCAGTTAAGCAATAAAAATGATGCATCAGATGTCAAAGAAACAAACAACTATCTGACTTTTAGAAGACATCTGAATGTAGCCGTTTAGGGAAGTTTTTAATGTTTTGAGGTTTTATTCTGTTTTAGTGTTCTGTTGGGAGCCACCCAGAGTGGCTGGGAAACCCAGCCAGATGGGCGGGGTATAAATGATGATGATGATGATGAAGATGATGATGATGTTGGAAGTTTCAGGTGAGGTGCTATCAGAACTATATTAAAGCACACAAAAAAAGATTCCTCAACGTGTATCAGTTTGGCAAGTCAAGAGAGTTAAGTACAAACCTGAACAATATTTATGAAATTGCATCCGCCTTCCATGCTGCCTAGTTCTTCCAGCCCTCCTAAGAGAAATGTGGGACATACTTCTA